GAATTAAGGAAAGGAATTAAAAACTTTGGAAAACCAGAGGGTGGTGAGGAGCCCAGAGCAGCTCTGAGCTCTGGCAAGGCAAGCAGAAACGTGCAGGAGGTGCCCAGTGAGCACCTGCAGACCTTGGGGGGAGGAAGAGCTGTGGTCAGCAGCCAAATCCCAATGCCACACTCATCCATCTTCATGGACAGACAGGAGCCAGCACCTGGAATCCTGACGTTCCAAAATGGTCAGAAACATTTATCCTTCTCTTGAAGTTCTAAATTCAGCATGGTTTAGGTCCATCTTAGTTACTGCAGAAGGGGAATATCCCTACCTGGATTATCCCTGTGCCAGAGACAGGGAAACCAACCTGGGTGTCTTGAGATTTTTACCACAAAAAGAGCTTTTTGTTTCCTCTTAGCCCAAGCTCAGTCCTGACATGGAAATTTTCTCCCCAGTTGACATTAGAATTAACTTGTTGACATCATTAGCAGAGCACATAATAGATAGCTGAACTGCTCTGATATTTATCTTTAGGTCAACAGCTCTAGAGACTCCAGAGGAAAATTAGAAAAAAAAAAAAGCATAGACTCTTTATTAGTAGAACTTAATTTAACTGTATTCAAACTTCATTAGGGAATTAAAAAAAATGACCTTTCTTAATGCACTCCTGCTTTATAAAGTATGGAATGAGAATATTAGATTTGTTTGATCCTGGTCCCCATTAGGCACCAGGGTAGATGAGAATGCACAAACTCCCTCCTTGAGTGAGGACTCTTGGATGTCAAATCAAAGCCCAGGTGCTCCAAAACCCATTTCCTTTCCTTTCCTCCGTGTTTTATGTTTCCTAGCCCTGTAATTCTCCCCAGGAAACCAGCAGAAATCTTAATTTCTTACTCCCCTCTCTGGCCCAAGTAACAGCTCTGGTGATTTAAACAATCAAGCACATGTTCTTACACTGTCTGCACCTCCTGCTCGCCAGGAACGGGGATGTGGTGAGGAAAACCATGGAGGAAAGGAAAGGAAATGACATTAACCTTTTCCATCTGATAAATAAGGGCTCTATTCAGCTGCAGTAATCCACATCCTTCCCTAGAGATCCAGTTAATGTAATACCTAAGGGCTCGGTTAATTTCAAATTATTTCCACACTGGCCAGCTGATTTCTTGGTGAATTATTCAGTCCCTGCTCACATGGAAAAGGACTGGAGCTCTCCTGTCCTTCCCAACACCCTGAACAACCTCTTGGTGTGCCAGGGGCTCTGTGACAGCCCCCAAACAGAGACTTTTGTGCTGATTTTCACGGGACCACCACTCTGCAAGCACTGAAGGTCCCCTGAGCTGCTCTTCCCTGCAGGGACCTCCTTCCTGCCCGATCGAACATCCAGCACCTGCCGTTTTTATGGAATTAAAAGAGAGTTTGAGCTGGGAATGGGCGGAAACTTCGAGCAACAGCCCCAGCCAGGCTGCAGAACGGGTTCTGCACGTGTTTGCTGGGGTTTGAGGTGGTGGATTGGGAGCAGTGGCCACTGCAGGGTGGATGGAGGATCTCCAAGGATGAAAAGCTGGGGATTGAAATGTGGTTTTTTTTCTCTTCTGCACTACACGGATGGCTCCGGGGTCTGCTGAGCTGGGAGGGACAAGGGACGTCTGCAGGCATCGAGGGAGGGGTTTGCAAGGCAGGACAGGGGATCAGGGAACACAAATCCACTTGGAAATCAGTGGGGAACACCAGCCTGATGTCAAAACACGGGATTTATCTCAGTGTCAGGAAAATGAATCCACAAACACCAGAGGTTTATGTCCAAAAAGGAGACAGAGGAGTCCTGGAACTTTGCTCCAATAAAGGGAGAGGCCATGGGGCACTCCCCATGGGGACTCCCAAAATTTTAAGAGGATGTAGCCTCCTTTTTATCCCAATTTCCTGACCACATTTCCCTCTCTCCTTCTCCATTGGCTGAGGTACTTGAAAGGTACAGACTTCCCAAACCCCTCATACCCCCTTCTGATCTATACCCCCCGTTTTTTGTTTTCCCTTGTGTCTCTCTTCTTTTTCTCTAAATCCACAGCTTGGAGGGAGTAACAGAATGTGGAATTCCTATGGAATTTATGGTTCCCCCCATTGCTTCTTTCACTTCTCCACATCTTATCCACCAGGCCCACAGTTTGTCTGTGAAGTCAGCTCCTTCCCATTCCTTTCAATCCCTCTTCTTTTTTATTTTCTCAATAATTCTCTTTACAAACCTTAGTTATCACTGACTTTACTCCCTGTTCCTGGCTCTTTTTTGGTTTTGCAATTGTTTTTGTAGCCATTGCTGGTCTGTAGGCACAGCTACTGCCTGCATTCCCTTCATCACACCTCGAGTAAGTGGCACTAAGAGAGGGATCATGCATGGTAAAAAGATTAGAGTCACACAACAGGAAAAAATAAACCTTTCCTTTCACCCACACTCCACCAGGTAACCACAAAAACACATCCCATTCCCATCCTCTCCACTTTTGGACTGGTGCATGAGCTAACTTTTTATTCCCTTTGTTGTTTGTTTCACTGCTTTTCCACTGTCACCTCTTTGCAAGCAGCAGTTTGAGTCATTTAATTTTTCCACACATTAGTATTGATCCCCAACCCACTGAAACCATGGGAATCTCCTCATTGGCACCAAGGCATTTGGGATTAAGTTCCTACCTTATGAGACACGCTCCTTCCTCTTTGATTCTTTTCCCCTTCAGGGAGTGTAGCTACCAGAACACAACAACCCAAACTTGGGTGCAATTTTGCAACTTTTCTGATGCTGTAACGAGCTGTGCTCCCAGGGTTCATTATGAGGCTGTCTTGAAACTTGCTGGTGAAACAGGAAAAACAAGAAATCTGACCTCACCGCAGTGCTTAATTGAAGTGGATTTATTGACTGTTTTTCAGCTCTTATAGCAACTGTGTTTGCTGAGAACTGAGGGCTAGTGGCTTTAATTCACCCTTAGCAGACACAACCTTGACAAAAACCTGTCCCACTCCAGGGCTGGACTGGGATTGGGCTGGAAGCTGCAGATGGAGATTGGAGATTTCCCTCTCCTTGTGATGCTCTTCAGCTTCCCTCCCTCTCCAGGACACCCATGTGGGTTGAAAATGCCAGAGGTAAAGCAAGAGCATCATGCCGAGCATGTTTTTGGTGATTTCTTGGTGCCATGGCAAGAAACATGAACCAATAAAGAGAATAAACCCCTCTGCTAAAAGATCTAAAAGATTCTTCAAGCTGCAAATCTTTTTGAAGAGTCTGGATCTCCAACCTCATGCAGCTGAGGAGGGAGGACTGATAAAAACCCGAAGCAGAGCCAGTTTGGTTGGATTTCTGCTGGGAAATCCACCTTTGACACAGCAGTGCTGCCCCTGGCTTGTGCTTAACGCTGAATTCTTATCCCCGTGCACCTGCACTGGAAATTCGGGCAGAAAGCTGCAGGCTGTGACCCTGCTGTAACCTGAAGAACAGTTCCTCGCTCCCCCCAGCAGGCAGTGGTGCCTCCAGACATGATCCATCAGCGCTGAACTTTATGTCCGGGTTTGGGGAGCTGTCTCCTTGGCAGGAGGGAATTCTGAGCTTTCTGCTGTGTCTCTCCCTGATCTGGAGTGGGAGCTGAGCCCAGCTGAGCCCAGCTGCCTGCTGAGAGGGGCAGGGTGTGAGTGTGTTCTGCAGGAGGGCTGGAAACCACTCCAGGAATAGATGGAGGAGATGGATGTGGCCCTCCCCTGGCACAGGAGGTAAAGCTGAGCTTGTGCTCAGCACAGAGTGACACCAGTGACCCAGGTAAAGGAATCCTCTGGACCCTCATTGTCCCAGCCCAGGTGCATGTCCCAGAGGATGGGGGGCTCTATCCAAGGAGTCTGGGATGCAAATTCCTGCAGATGACAGCCATTAGCCTATTGAATATTTGTTTTTCTGTTTGATGGGTAGGGAAGAGGCAGCGACTCTGCAGAGAACAGGCCTGGAAATTGCAGATTTGTGCCCAAACCACCAACTTAAAAAAGCTTTAGAGACTGAAAGAGACCGGCTGTCAGTTCTGTTGGAGGCTGCAGGGCAGTGGGAGGGTGGAAGTTGTTTCATCACAGCCCCCAGCCTCTTGGCTGCTCTTTCCTGGCATTTATTAGCAAAAACTCATGCCAAGGGCTGCCAGGAGCAAAGCTGCATGGCCAGGAGGACACAGGCACCAGCAGCACTGAATTCATTTGACACATCCCAAGTTCAGAATTTATTGATAAACCCGGGGTAAAATCAGTGTTTGCATCTTGGTTCTAAAAACAGTAGAACATTCCCAGGGATGGGTTTTGTCCACCTGAGCCAGAACACCTGGAAAGGCCCGTGGAAGTGGAAGCTTTTTACACTGACCTCATTTTTGTGGTCACTGTGACCTGTTAAAAACCTCCCTCGGCTCTCTGGGATCCCCTCAGGTGACAGGGACAGAGCTGAGCTGGTCCCTGTGCAACCAATTCAGAGCATGGAGTAAAGCAGGAATTTAAAATAACCCGCTGTGAGGGCAGGTTAGCAGCAGCATGGGTTTCTGAGGGGAAAAATGAGGAATTCAGCCGTCTCTTGGTGACATTTATTGCACAGACTGGTGATGGGATGCAAGGAGAAAATCCAAGGCCCAAAGGTGTCTGTGCTGCCTGCTAAAAGCCACTTTTTCAACAGCCAAGGCTGCTCTGAAGGGGCTGGAATTACCTCTGGAGCAGTTTATCAGGGAAATGGGGAAGGTTTGGGGTCCTGGTGTAAATCCTTTGGTTGCTTCACACTTATTGCAAAGCGGACCTTGAGCCTTTTTGAGAAAAACAATCAGGAAACTGCTGGGCTCCCCAAAGTAGCATTTTTCTCACCAGTTCCAATGTGCTGAAAGGACTGGATTTTCTGTGAACTTTTCCCAAACAGTCTTGCTTTTTTCTTTCTTTTTTTTTTCTCTTTTTTTTTTCCCTTCTCTTTGAGAGGGGGAGGAGTTGTGTCTAAAAAAACAAACCCAACCTGTCGTTCTCAGCTCTGCCAACCTGTCAGTCCAGCCATGCAAGAAGAGAGGGAGAGAGACAGAGCAAAAGAAAAGAGGGAGTGAAGCAGAGATTCTTTCAAACCTCAGCGGGACATTAAGGTAAATCCCATTTCCAACTTCCCTAATTGCTTTTTCCTCTGTGTTTGTACACGAAAACAGAAATTCTGTTGCCTTAGAGAGCTTTAAACCAAGTGGGCAGCCCGGGTGGGGATGAACTGCTCCTGTTCAGCTGGAGGGGTGTTTGGAGTGGAACCTGGAGCTCGCTCGCTGTTGTTTGGAAACACGGTTTGTGCGGCTGGAATTCGCCTTAATTTGAATATTAAAGAGAGGCAGAGCTTGTTGGATCCCGTGCTTAGGGAGGGTGCTAAGCTGTGTAATTGCAGGGCTGAGCCGGGCTCTAATTACCGCAGATCAGGGTGAGAACTTGTCAGAGAGGAGGGAAATCCTTCCAGAGCTGCTCTGTCACCTTCTCCTGCAGCACCTGGCCCTGCTGGGGATGGGCTGTGGGACCACCCAGAGCCCCATTTGGCATCTCCTCCCTTCCCTTCTGTCCTTTCTGTCCCTCCTGGAGGGGCTCAGCATCTCCGGAGGGTTCCAGAGGCAGCAGGGCAGAGCAGCACAGGCGCTCCCAGCTCCCCCCGAGCAGATTGCGGCTCGCAGAGTGTGAGAAAGGCTGGCTGCAATGAGTCACAGCGATCACCCTGCCTGGGGAGCCTCTCGGGGTTTGCTGGGACAGCTGGGAGCAGGAATAGACACAGCTTGCTGGGTCTGAGTGTCCGTGTGAGCGCCTGTGTCACCCGGGCACTGATGGGGCTGGGCAAGGAGCCTGCCGAGAGATGTTGCCCTCTCCTATGCCATGAAAACCCACCAAAAAAAAGGTGAGAAAGCAAGAATCCTGCTCATCCCCCTTAGAAATCCCTCTATTTCTATATCCCCGAGCAAACATTTTAAGCTGTCAAACTCTGTGATGCCTTTCTGAGGGCCTGGGGAGGTCCCACCTCCCCAAGGAGGGAGGATTTGCCTCCCTGGATCCTGGGTGGGCAGGGTTTGCTCTCCTCGCGGTGTCCCTGGGCTGTTCACTCCTGTGGAGCTGTCCCCAGCAGCTCACCTGGCACACAGAGCCACAAGGAGCCAGGGACAGACAGTGCTGCTGCCTCTCAGAGCCCTGGAATGCCTTTGCCAGGGCTTTGGTTACACACTCCTGGCTTCTGCATCTTCCTTCTGTTGAACTTCCTCAAATCCTCCTGCCTGTGCTGTGGATCAAAGCTCTTTTCCAGGCAGTGGCCACCACAAGCCTGGAAATCCAGAGGGGATCCAGATTTTATCTGTCCAGATAAAAAACCTCTGCGAAGTCCTGGTGTTCCATCATTTTCCCTTTCCCCTGGGATCCTCTCCTCTCCTGGGAGCCCTGACTCATTCCCTGAGGGGATGGTGATGCAGAGTGTGATTATAAACATTTAATAAATAGAAAAACCTTCTTTTAGAGTGTTCTCTGTAGTATTGTTGTGAGTTTTCTTGTTCACAAGCTGGCATGGAGAGGGAAGTGCTTTTCCGAGTTAATGTAGTGGGTGGAGAAGAGGAAGTGAATATTTAAATTTTGGTGGAGATAAACTTTTTTACTCCTTGTTACAGTAAGAGAAATTAGTCACTGAAAGAAGGACAGGAGGAAAATTGGATTTCCTGATCTGCAAAGACTTCACTAATGAATCTCACAGCACTTCTGCATCTTCTCTCTTTTCTCTTTCCTCTTTCCTCTTTTCTCTTTTCTCTTTTTTCTCTTTTCTCTTTTCTCTTTTCTCTTTTCTCTTTTCTCTTTTCTCTTTTCTCTTTTCTCTTTTCTCTTTCCTCTTTCCTCTTTTCTCTTTTCTCTCTTTTCTCTTTTCTCTTCTCCCCCACTCCACACTCCACGATGCTCCTGGGCTTTTGTGAAACCAGAGCAGACATTCTGGAGCATTCTCCTGATTCCTGCTCTGGAAAAGGTGTGAATGCAGTGAGATAACGAGATGGGGGCTGCTAAATCAGCCGAGCTGGGACAGCCCATCCATTCCTGACAAACCCAGGCTTTATTGGATGGCTTGGCAGCGCTCAGCAAATGCCGGCTGATCAATCTCAGTTAACCGGCTGCAAACTCGCTAAATTCAGCTTCTACCCGGGCAAAATCCGTATTTTAGATGGGCTTCATTAGTGTGGCAGCAGCTCTGTGCTGGAAGTGTCGGAATTTAGCATCCAGGAGCTCCCCGGGATTCCTGAGCCTGTCACTGCAGAAGGAGGCAGAAGGAGCAGGGACTGATGGAGCGCTCATTGGTTTTGGGAGCTTCTCCCAAAGAACTAAAACTTTAGCAAAAAACGCGTTCCCAGACAAAAAAAAGGTCGAAATCTGAGCCGCCCCTCTGCCAGCAGAGGTTCTGAGCAGTGGAAAGGTCAGGAGGAAAACACACTCAGAAAGTTTCTGCCTTTCGCCTCACTTTTTCCTCACCTCGCTTTTAAAATGAAGAGCTCGATACGGTTAAGGGATAAAGGGCTTTTGTTTCAGTATCTGATAAGGACTTTTATGATGCCATAAAAATACATGGCATAAATATAAAATGTGGTGCCATAATAATTTAAGGTATAAATCACTTTTATTTTCTTAATTTTTAACAACTTGTTAAGGTGGAATACGCTGGAATGCACATATATGGTAGATTGCATATATCATTTTATAGACCTTGTACACCAGAGGCTTGAATGAATAGCAAGATATCTTTTTATCTTACGGTGTTTCCTCTCAGATGGGTTTCATTTGGGTTTGTGGGATATGTTTTAAGGGGGGTTTCGATTTTTTTAAGGTAAGCCTTTCACCAGGATGCTTCTCCCTCACCTCAGTGTTCCCTGGTGTGGCTGAAATTCCGGAGATTGCCTGATGCTCTGCCCCTTTTTCTGTCGTTTGTCGCCTTTCTTGCCCAATATTCCCACCCCGAGTTTTTGGTGAGAGGTTTGGGAAGGGAGCGCCCTTTGCAGGAATTGATTGTGCAATTAACCCTCCACGTGATAAACACAAGCAAATTCCACCCCACATTTCTGCCTGCTTTTAAACCGGGCTAAGGGCTTGATTTCATTCTTCATCTTTCCATCTTCAGCTGTAAAAAGAGGATTTGTCTGTCCTGTCTGGCAGGAGGCAGAGCTGGAACTCGAGAAATGGCTGTGCTGCATCTCACGAGGAACTGCTCGTTTCTTGCGCTTTCCAGCCATGATTCCATCCTTGGTTCCTCTTTTCTAAGCAGATAAATTCATGTTCTGAGGGTGCACGCAGGGGAGGACAATCTCCAGCTCCTCAGCTGCTTTTTGTGCTGACGTGCTGGGGTGGAGAGGGTTCCAGCCCTTCATTTCCTCTGGAAAGATACAGCAGAGGAAACATTGAATTTTGGGGTTCTCCTTGCTGTCATGGTACAGGACAGTGGCTCAACATTTCCCAGAGAAGATCTAAAGACTGACATTTGATAAAAATCAACGGTCTGGCAAACAAACTGAAAAAAAAAAATCAACGGTCTGGCAAACAAACTGAAAAAAACAGGAAAAAAAAAAGGCAAATTTGGTGTACAAACGTTTTATTCAGACAATTTTTCTTCAAGGGAAAACCATGATGGGCTCACAGAGGAGTGTGAAAGGATAAAAGAGTAAAATTTTACTGGAAAACCGCTGGAAAATTTCCATGTTTAATAAAGGCATCTCCATTCCTGAAACAACTTCACAAAACACCTCCAGCTCCTTTTAAAATATTCTCTCCCAATCTGGTTTCAAATTGGAACCAAATTTTGTGCATTTCAACATCAGGGCAGTGTTTAGGAGTGGTTTAGAACTGTTTAGAACCTGCATCACCTGGCCCTGTTCACTCCTGACTTTACAGACTCGGTTTTGGATGGCCAAGTGGCCCCTTCTGCTCTCCAGGAAATGCTGATTCCCAGCAGCCCTGGGAGAAAGAGCAATTTCCTACCTGGCTTTGTCCCACTCAGAGATAGATTAGGACAAATCTGAGCCACGGAGATGATATTCACTTCATAAAAGCAGAGGCCGTAAAACACAGGCCACTTTCCACCAGAAATCTCAACGGGGAAATTCAGATATTTCTATTTCCACTCACGAGCCTTCAGCAGCTGTTTGACTATTCATGAAAATCCTTTCAGTTTTCCACAACTGAGTGAGGACACTTTCCAGGAGCGGCCTGTGGTGAGATTTCCAGTGCACTCTTGCTCTGGATAGACTTTAGAATATTAATATTTTCATGGTATTTTGTCACCACAACCAGTTATTCCACAAAAAAATAAATGAGGCAATTGGTGCCTCATGCAAAAAAAAACCCAAGTAACCCTCCAGCAACTCCTTCGAGTTTCTGCTATTCAGGCCTCAGAAAGGTTTGATTTGGACTTTTTCAGTGGGAATAAGTAATTAGTGCTTTGCTTTATCTGCAGTCTGTTCAGGAGTTCAGTGGTTGGTGAGGCAGTTTTGGATGGAGGTGCAGTTGCCCTGGCAACAATCGGGAGTGAAATCAGAACCTTTGGAGCAGCCAGTGGAATGTGGTTCCACTTGGATGACAATGGGTCAGAGCAGTTTTAATGGGCAGAATGTAATCCAGCACAATAGGATTTATTGCCTCTGTGACATCAGATTGACACCATTCCTGCAAATTCTTCGGCTTGTCACAGACCTCAAACCTGCTGGCTGGAAAAACTCGGGAAAACGCCGTTAACCATTTTGTTTTCTGGATCAGCCGGAGCCCCTGTGTCCCAGCGGGGTGGGAGGAATATCTTCCAAGGCAGTGAAAGCCAAGCTCCCTGCACAGAGCCCTGATGAGTGGCTGTCCTGGACACCAGGAAGGATTCTGAGAACCAAAGGCTCCTTCCTGCCGACTGCTGAGCGAGCTGGCCCAAATCTGCCGGAGAACTTGCTCGCTTCCCGGGTTTTATATCACCAAAACAATTCCCAGTCATTTCCAGCGTGGTAATTCAGGCTCTTAAAGCTGATTGCATTTGCTGACAGACAAGTCCTAAAGCAATGCTGGAAGAAAAGGTTCCCTGTTTGGTGTGGAGGGGAAATATTTCATCCCTCCTGATGTTTTCCAA